GTATAATCCCAACACAGGCACTGACTAGAGCGGCCGTGATCAGCTCCGGTTCCCGTGTCTGAGCCGTGACGCCCCGCAGATTTGTGCAGAGCGGAGCGCAAGTGAACGCGATTATTCCTTCCTCTGTACTACTAGTTTTAACGCGAATAAACATGACTGAACATCTCATGCCTCATGTAATTGCTATCAGTGTTTCAACTGCGGAAAGACATCAACAATACAGCATGGAAATAAAATGTCACGTAGCATTTAATTTACCTCAGCAAGTCATCAGTGTCCACAGCTCGTTAGTTCACTAGAGAAGTGAAATTTAGAGAGGATCATTTTGCGAAATATTACGACATTTCCTCATTATATGTTACTAAACCTGTTAGTCTTAATTACTTAATGTACAGAATGTTTAAATTAATCTGTTATGAAACATGCTATGACAGCCATTGTGTATTTTAACAAATAACTTAGAAATTTGATTATTTATATTTAATTATATAATAGTTAATTTAAAACTGCATTATGTGCAATTTACGTGTTTGCATACATTTTATTTTATTTTATTATTATTTTTTTTTTTAAATTGAGTGTTGATCATCTATTTAAAAATAAATACCAATTAAATTAAAGTTTGGGTTAAGTTAGTGGCCTAATTGTAACCTTATAATGTAAAAGGGTTCCCTATAGTTTTAAGCATAAGCTGAGGTTTTTATCACTAAGAAAATTTTAACTATAACTGAATGTATTTAAAGAAAGAGCAACTTGTTCAGTAAGCCATTTAAAAAAAAAAAAAAAGTTTAGTTTTCCCCCCTGCTGTACCAAAATCATACCGAACTGTGACGTTAAAACCGAGGTACATACCGAACTGTCATATTTGTGTACCGTTACACCCCTAATATATATATATATATATATATACACACACACACACACACACACACACACACAAATATATCTATATATGTGTATTTTTTGTACCTGTCTTTAATCTCGTGTGGAAACAAAGAATTGGTGCCGGCACCGTCTCTGAGCATTGTGGGATGGCAATATACATGATAGGATTTGATAGAGAGCCAATAACCTTTGGATGTGAAGGCCAGGTCAGAGATGGATTACCAGCAGTTTTCTCACACTGACACAATTTTCATAATTTCGGCTCTGTATGCCACCAGAATAGAATTAAAATAAAACAATCACAATGAAATTGAAGTGCAGACTTTTAGCTTTAATTCAAGCGGTTGAACAAAAATATAACATAAAATGCTGAGGAATTACAACCATTTTTATACAGTCCCCCTATTTTCAGGGGCTTAAATGTAATTGGGCAAATAAATATAATCATACATAAATGGTAAATTTTTGATATTTTGTTAAGAATCCTTTGCAGGCAATGACTGCCTTAAGTCTGGAACTCATGGACATCACCAGAGACTGGGTTTCCTCATTTGTGATGCTTTGCCAGGCCTTTACTGCAGCTGACTTCAGTTGGTGTTTGTTTGCAAGTCTTTCTGCCTTTTGTCTTTAACAAGTGGAATGTATGCTCAGTCGGGTTAAAATAAGGAGATTTGATTTGGCCATTGCAGAATATTCCCTTTTTTACCTTCAAAAACTCCTGGGTTGTTTTTGCTGTATGTTTTGGGTCATTTTCCACTTGTACTATGAAGCGCTGTGCCGCTATCCAATCAACTTTGCTGCATTTGACTGAATCTGGACAGACAGTATATCCCTATACACTTCAGAATTCTTCCGGCTGCTTCTGTCCTCTGTCACTTCATCACTAAACACCAGTAACCCAGTGCCACTGGAAGCCATGCGCACTCATGCCATCACACTGCTCCACCATGTTTCACAGATGATGTGTATGCTTTGGATCATGAGCTGTTCCAAGCCTTCTCCATACTTTTTTCTTCTCGTCATTCTGGTACAGGTTGATCCTAATTTCAGTCATCCAAAGAATGCTTTTCCAGAAGTGGTCTGGCTTTTTTAGATGTTTTTTGGCTAAGTCTAATCTGGCCTTGTTTGCACCTTGTGGTGAACCCTCTGTATTTGCTCTTGTGAAGTCTTCTCTTGATTGTAGACTTTGACAGTGACACGCCTACACACACCTACTCACTACTCCTGGAGAGCGTTCTTCACGTGGCTGGATGTTGTGAAAGGGTTTTTCTTTACCATGGAGAGGATCCTCCGATCATCCACGACTGATGTCCAGGCCTATTTATGTTGCTGAGCTCACCAGTGTGTTCATTTTTCTCAGAATGTACCAAACTGTTGATTTAGCCACTCCTAATGTTTCCGCTATCTCTCTAATGGATTTGTTTTGTTTTTGAAGTCTAACAATTGTCTGTTTCACTTGCATGGAGAGATCCTTTGACCACATGATGTTGGTTCAGAGCAACAGCTTCCAAATGCAAATGGCACACTTAAAATCAACTCCAGAACTTTTACCTGCTTAACTGAGTAGAAATAACAAAGGAATAGCCCACACCTGTCCATGAAACAGCTTTCGAGACAATTGTTCAATTACTTATGGTCCCTTGAAAAAGGGGGGAGGTACATATTAAAAAGATGAAATTCCTTAACCTTTCCTTCAATTTTGATGTGAATACCCTCAAATTAAAGATCAGAGTGTGCAATTTAAACACATATCCATTATATAACTGTAACTTGAATATGTTTTGGTCAGCAGCTAAAATAATAAAAATTGTTCCTGTGTCCAAATATATATGAACCTAACTGTACACACATTCACATACATGGCTTTAAACTTTAAGCCTCAATGTCATTTTGCGTTACAGCAAATGTGATAAACTATTCAACATCGCTCTGATAGGACGTGAATATCCATCAAAATATAAAAATAGACTAAAATGTCTATAAATGTCAATAAATCAATCTGTAGGTACTATAATTCACTGACTACATTTTCTCAGTGACAAAATGAACACTCACTTTTTTGCTGCTTCATCATATGTGGAGCAAGATTATGGACCAATGAGAGTTCACGATTTCTACTTGCCCTGTCAACATTTTTCCTGGAACCAAAGCAAAGCAAAACAAAAAACAAAACACAGAATAAAACAAAACAAAAAACACAACAAATATAATTTTAAATGTATACTTTTAAATAGTTTTTAGATTTATTATTTCATATTTTTATTAAAATTAAAAATTTAATAAACTACAATTGTTCAATTACTTATGGTCCCTTGAAAAAGGGGGGAGGTACATATTAAAAAGATGAAATTCCTTAACCTTTCCTTCAATTTTGATGTGAATACCCTCAAATTAAAGATCAGAGTGTGCAATTTAAACACATATCCATTATATAACTGTAACTTGAATATGTTTTGGTCAGCAGCTAAAATAATAAAAATTGTTCCTGTGTCCAAATATATATGAACCTAACTGTACACACATTCACATACATGGCTTTAAACTTTAAGCCTCAATGTCATTTTGCGTTACAGCAAATGTGATAAACTATTCAACATCGCTCTGATAGGACGTGAATATCCATCAAAATATAAAAATAGACTAAAATGTCTATAAATGTCAATAAATCAATCTGTAGGTACTATAATTCACTGACTACATTTTCTCAGTGACAAAATGAACACTCACTTTTTTGCTGCTTCATCAGTTGTTTTTTCACTTGCCAAAAAAGTCACCATACAAAAAATAAAAGCCTTTTGCACTTGCTTTCAGAACTCTTGCTAAAGTTAACCTTTAAAAGACTTGAATATTGTTGGATTCAGGGATATCAAGGAAAAGAAACGTTAAAAAGCCAAACAACCAAGAAGAGCGAAAAGAAGTGAAATGTCAAGGATTTCCTAACCAAAGAAAAAAAACGAGGACTTCCCCAAAAGGAGGTTTTGGGAAATTTTGTCAGGTGTATCTCACTTTTTGGTAAATATACATTTACATACAGTATGCACAGCATTAAAGCAGTTACACTATTATAATTTTTAGCTAACACTGACAAACAAACATTTCCAGAAGGTCTGCCTTTGACTGTGAATAAGTGTATAATGTTAAGGTTCGCAGGAGGCTTCGGCCCTCAGATGCAGGATTAATATTCCTTTGGCCAGCTCTGGTATTTGGGAGAGGTGTGATTGTTCTGCTGGAGATATATTGGCCCTATTGATTTAGCATTTTCTCTACTGTATGTTGTGCTGCTGATAGGCAGCGGGGGGTAAAAGAGCGGCTTCCTCTAGGCTGGCACGTCCAGGCCTTTTAAAGGACACCCTTAATGCATGTTCACTATTGATCTGCTGAGCACACGTGCAGGCAGGCCCATTCAAAACATCTGCTATCCTTTACACATGACGGCTCAGACTGGCTACCATACTGAGCTATTGAGAGCAGCTTTGCAAAGCATTTCAAGAGTAAATCTATACATCTTCACTTCTCCTTAACCCGGCCGACTGTCTCCAACCTTTGCTCTTAGAAACTCCCACTGAGATCTCTTGGTCTCTTTCTCTATTATTTTTTCAAACGTTCAGTTGCCCGTCAACGAAAGACCCTGAAACATGCTCACGAGAAACCGCAGGAACATAGAAAGATGATAGATGAGACGTCTTCCTTTATGAAAATTAATTTGTGGGTTTGTAGTCTATAAATATGTTAAAAGAAATAGTTATAATACCAAGCTATGAAGAATCCAAACCTGTTTGCCTTACTTTCTTCTATGGAACACAAAAGGAGAATTTTCACACCACCCTTTTTCATACCCATGTTATTTTTATTTTATTATTTATTCATATGTGCTTTTGTCATTGGTTGCTTTGCTAATGCATAGCTTTAATTTATTTCAGGTTTAGTTTCAGTAATTTTTGTATTCAAACTTATATATTTCAGTTAGTGTCAAGGCAACCATTCTATCTTAAAATAAGAATTAAACCTATGTAAGTCATACAGGTTTGGAATTACATGAGGGTGAGCAAATGATGGCAGAATGTTCAATTTGGGTAAACTGTAACTTTAATTCACATATAAGAATTGCAACTCACTGAGACAACTGTGTCCATAATGCACCATGAAGTCAGCTCCCAAAGCGCGGGCAGTGAAGTCGTCCACGCAGCAGGCCCCGTATGTCACATCTCCCATCACCAGAGTGTCCGCCTCTGTGAATCTGACAAACAACACAATCAACGACCTTGATCACTCCACTATTGCAATTCAGATCAATCAGGCCGTAAATAAAATAATGGTTCCACACAGTTGGCAGATCAATCACTCTCAAGCGGAAATGTCACTCAGACATCCATGTCTCCAGTTAAGTGGGTTCCCGCTAGCCGTAAACTGATGCACTCTGTGCAGTCTGGAAAACCATCTAGAATAACCTTCAGAGACGACAGAGCACTGGACAATGACTAACATAAGCATTCACTGATGGTAAACATTCAAGTACCATGTTAAGGTTAATAGCTATGGATGCACACTGTCCTATGAAAAAGTAGGTAAGCTGGTTATCGAAAATTTTAAATGCAGATTCAAACCAGTGGTAATCCATGAGCCATCACCAATGTGTTCTTGAGAAAGAGACTAAACTTGTCCCTCTGTACTGTACCTACATAAGTGCTACAACCATCAATGTCTATAAAAAATCTATTACTTATTAAGAAAATTATATTTCTTTCTGTCAGCATGTTAGTATTCTGTTTATCTCAATGGCACTTACTCAGCTGGCACTTACTCAAAAATCCATCAAAACTAATTTATCTGTTCACACTGGAAAAAAGGGGGTACAATGTGACATAATAACAGTCAAGACATATTTGATGTTGAATATACAGTTATGTGGAGCAAGATTATGGACCAATGAGAGTTCACGATTTCTACTTGCCCTGTCAACATTTTTCCTGGAACCAAAGCAAAGCAAAACAAAAAACAAAACACAGAATAAAACAAAACAAAAAACACAACAAATATAATTTTAAATGTATACTTTTAAATAGTTTTTAGATTTATTATTTCATATTTTTATTAAAATTAAAAATTTAATAAACTTTTTTTTGCACAAATTGTTTCATGCATTATTAAACTAAGTAGAAAATTCAGAATTAAAAAATGTAAATTATATTAAAAAAAACTTGAAAACCAATAAATTAATAAATGTGTGCTGTAAAATCATGGCATACAGTAAAACAGATTTTTACTGATTACCTTGTCATTTTAAACTCATTCTTACTAACTCTACCAACTTCAAAAAGCTTGTGTCAATGTTAGCAAGATAAAAAAAATAGCCTAGCAGTAGCAGACAATTTTAAACAGTTTACAGAATTCACAGCCAAGTGTCATACAAATTGTTTAAATCAGCATAAAAATGAAATGAACATAGATGATCCAAAAACATGAGACACAGCAGTAACCCAAAATTCCCATTCTAACCTGCATTCTTAAAGACCTATTATGCAAAATTCACTTTCACATGTTGTTTGGACATAAATGTGTGTTGGCAGTGTGTGTACACAACCACCCTATAATGATAAAAATTCACCCACTTCTTTTTCTTTTTTTTAATCCCCATAAATCATAAGCAGTGTCTCCCAACTACCTGTTTTCAGAATTGGCGCTAATGTGATGTCACCCCCGCCCACAAAAGTTGACAGATACTGCCGTTTTAACATAGAACCGCCCTGAGCGAGTTCACAGCAAGTTGTACACAGTCCGCCATTGCTGCACTGACGAGAATGTCTCCCAAGCGTTTTAGGTGTTCTGTAGCTGGCTGTATGAATCCACATAGCTCTCTCCATTTACTCCCGAAATCTGAGCCGCTGAAGGCAAGGTGGATTAATTTTGTTTTTCAAAGAAAATGCTCCCTCAACTCTACCAAAATTTAAGTAAGTATTACATGTTAGTTTTCCAAATTGCCTTTATGAAAGAGCTTCTTGGCTCTCTGTAAGGCTAATGTTGCTAAAGCTACCATTGTCTGTCTGTTTTCACTGATGCTGCCTTCACGTGCTACCAGAATGATCGTAAATAGGAATGTTCAATTCAATTCAAGTTTATTTGTATAGCGCTTTTTACGATACAAATAGTTGCAAAGCAACTTTACAGAAAATTAAGTTTCTACAATATTTAGTAGTAGCTTATCAGCGGTGACTGTCAGTTTATGTACATATGGCAGAAATGTACGGAAAAATCAATTAAAGACGTAATCAAACAGACGATGAACACTATTAACAGCAATTATTAGATGTCACCCCCGCCCACGAAAGTTGACAGATACTGCCGTTTTAACATAGAACCGCCCTGAGCGAGTTCACAGCAAGTTGTACACAGTCCGCCATTGCTGCACTGACGAGAATGTCTCCCAAGCGTTTTAGGTGTTCTGTAGCTGGCTGTATGAATCCACATAGCTCTCTCCATTTACTCCCGAAATCTGAGCCGCTGAAGGCAAGGTGGATTAATTTTGTTTTTCGAAGAAAATGCTCCCTCAACTCTACCAAAATTTGTTTATGTCTGCACGAATCATTTTACACCGGACTGCTTTGTGAATGAGGGTCAGTATAAAGCAGGTTTTGCACAAAAGTTGCTCCTGAAGGATGGAGCCGTGCCAACTGTTCGTGATCCAGCTACACCTCCAGAATAGTAAGTATTACATGTTAGTTTTCCAAATTGCCTTTGTGAAAGAGCTTCATGGCTCTCTGTAAGGCTAATGTTGCTAAAGCTACCATTGTCTGTCTGTTTTCACTGATGCTGCCTTCACGTGCTACCAGAATGATCGTAAATAGGAATGTTCAATTCAATTCAAGTTTATTTGTATAGCGCTTTTTACGATACAAATAGTTGCAAAGCAACTTTACAGAAACTTTTTAGTGATTATAGCGTTATATGAAAGAGCTATTTGCTCGCTTTCTAGGCTATAATCGATTCAGAATTTAAATAAAAGTTGTTTTACGTGCTGGTAACAGGACCAACAGCCCCATACCCTGTAAATTACCTGCAGCAAAGTTTCAGGAGTGACATATTCCACATCCCTCATATAAATATGGGATTCACTTTCGAAATAGCTTGTTTACAATCAGGGTTAGTTGCTTAGCCTATATCCACCGCCTCAATGGCAGGCAAGTATTTCAATTTAGTTAAAAAATCGCTCCTCTTCATAACATATGGATCACGTCCAACATATGTTGTGATTATAAATACCTTTCTCTTGTAATAGCGTGGTGGTTGAAGAGAGATCCCCTCATATGATTGTAAAGTGCGTTGGGTGTACAGCAATACAATGAAAGCGCTATATTAAAAAAATGCCTCATGCCAAAAAAAAGAACAGTACGGACTGCTTTTTTTGTCACTCCTTAAACTTTGCTGCATGTAAGTTACAGGGCATGTGGCTGTTGGTCCTGTTAGCAGCACGCAAAACAAAACTTTTATTCAAATTCTGAATTGATTATAGCCCAGAAAGCGAGCAAATAGCGCTTCCATATAATCACTAAAAAGCTGTCACTCACTTCAATTTATAGCAATCTCACAATGTTCCTTTATAATCAGTGAAGCTTTCTGAACTGCAACTAATATCTTATTTACATCGTGTCTACGTGT